ATGGGAGCTCATGAAGGGGTGCTACCATCTAAGGGAAGAGACATAATTACACCTAGAGCTGCAACAGTTAATCGATTAAGTCGATTAAAATCGACGATTGAAAACGTTGGCAACGTTTTCGATCGTCGATTCATCGGCTATCGATTGCTTAGCCTGTTCGGGGCTCCGCACGCGGCCTGAGTCGCACGTCACGCGTCACACGCTGCTCCCGACGTGTCCACCGCACAGGCCGCCGCATAAGCCACGCCCACCGAACAGGCCGAAGCCGCGCACGCTGCTCGTCTCCTAGCCGTGAGCTCTCTCACCCGCCGCGAGCTGCCTCACCCGCCGCATAAGTCATGCCGGCCGCTGGTCTCCTCCTAGCCGTGAGCTCCCTCAGTCGCCGCAAAAGCCATGTCCACCGCTGGTCTCCTCCTCGCCGTGAGCTCCCTCACCCGCCGCTGGCCTGCAGACAATTGAGGGCCCACCTTCTAAAAGTAAGTCAGGAGTGGACTACACTAGAAATGTAACTGTAGTGATCTGGATGTAATGACATCAGCTTATTTTAATAGTGAGCACTTTTCAATTTAGTCAGAATCTCTCAAGGAAACCTCTTATTATTGAAAAGAGCCGTCCCCATCCCCCCTCCCCCTCCCTTTTCAATAATAAGAGGTTTCCTTGAGAGATTCTGACTAAATTGAAAAGTGCTCACTATTAAAATAAGCTGATCCTTGCCTGCCCTCAATACAAACTAGTGCAACTTGAATGATGTTCCATTTTGCTCATGTGGTTAGCACTTTCCTCCCTGTTCACATAGGAAAGGACTAGCACCTGTTCACTAGAGCTGCAACAATTATTCAATTAAAATCGACGATGGAAAATGTTGTCAACATTTTCCATCGTCGATTTGTCGGCTAAAATTCAAATTTCCCGGTCACGCCACACCCACGTCGATTAAGCTGTTTGCGCCACGCCCACCGCTCACTCCACGCCGCTTAGCCACGCCCACGCTGAGGACATGCGTCTGGCCCTCTCCTCCCGGCGAGCTTTCCGACTCGCTGCTGCCCGCCGACAACCAACAACGCCGCTGCTCGCCGACAACACCGTCATTCAAAGTAAGTCGAGATCGGCGGGGAGCTTTTTAATGTTTCCTGTTGTGTTTTTTTTTTTTAAGCGGCACACTGCAGAACATTAGTAGCTATAGAGGAACAACAAACAGCCTGTATAATGTATTATTGCTGGGATTTGTTGTTCCTTTATAGCTGGTGGTATTCTCCATTGCGCTGGGCAATGTATTATTTCTGGGATTTGTAGTTCCTCTATAACAGGTCAATGGTAATCTGCATTGCACAGTATAATCATTATACAGCGCAATGCAGAATACCAGCATTTACAGAGGACTACATATCCCAGCAATAGTACATTATTGTATAATGTTGTACTATTGCTGGCATTTGTTGTATTCCTATATAGCTGGTGGTATACTGCATTTCGCCGTATTATCATTATACAGCGCACTGTAGAGGACTACAAATCCCAGCGATAATAAATGATATACAGCGCAATGCAGAATAACGCCAGCTATAGAGGAATACATCAGATCCCAGCAATAATACATTATATACAGTGCAATGCAGAATAACGCCAGCTACAGAGGACTACAAATCCCAGCAATAGTACATTATAGTATAATGTACTATTGCTGCATTCCTCTATAGCTGCTGGTATTCTGCATTGCGCCGCTGTATAATGTACTATATTGCACACCACACTTTTTTTTTTACTTCCACCGTGTCAAGCTTGCTCCTGTGATGGATTACAATCTCAATAGAAACTAGTAGTCCATCACTGGAGCCTTTTTTTTAAATCCGATTAACCGATTAATCGAACTTAATCATCGGCCAACTAATCGATTATGAAAATAATCGTTAGCTGCAGCCCTAATTACACCCTCACAGGAAGTTTAAAAAAGGAACTATTTTTTAATTCTTTGAAAGTAATGAGGCAGTTCTACCTTGTTACTGGTTTTAAAAAATGCAGCTGTCAACAAATGAGAATGCAGAACACGACTGTTCTTTACAGTGATGGTCACTGCCACTTATTCATATATAGGAGCAGAAGTAAATGTGAAAATAAAAAGCCACTGGGAATTAACAGTTTTTGGCAGAAGAAAAGTCTCTTCTGCCAAAAAAATAATAATTTACTGCCCCTGCGATTCTTTTTTAATTTATATTTTTATGTACATTGTATAATGCATGCGCAATATAGTGTACACACTCAGCCCATTCACACCAGTGAGGCGCAGGAGTGGCATCATGAGTGGCCACCTATTGGCTGAAGAGAACTTCCGAGAACCCGAAAGCGGCAGAGATGGCAGCGGCTGGGGACAGCACTGAGGGCCGAAGGACGTGCCGACAGCGCTGGAGATTCACACTTGAACATTAGGGAAGAAAAAAAAAAGAAAGAAATCAAAGTGGTTTATTGCTCCTTTAAGCTGGCCATTTTCCTCTTGTTTTTTTCTTGGCTTGAAAGAGAAAAAACACTTAATTCCGCTATTTAGTAAGGGAATCTCCCCCTGCAGCTGTCAGAAAACCTGAACAGTGACTGCATTTAATTAATTGCAGTCACTGCTTGGCCAACAATTTTTGGCCTGGCTCCTTTGACAACATTTGAAAAAGTGGTGATGACAAGGCCACCATAGCTTAAATTGTGGCAACGACAGTAGGACTAAAAATCCAACCATGTATGACTAGCTTAAGATGGAGGTGGGGACAGCTTATTACCTCTGGGATGTGAATGTTACAGCACTAAAGCAAATAGGTCATAGACCATGCCAAGTCCTTTACTATACCTTCACAGCAGCTGGGAGACCTTATGCAAGACAAATATGTATCCCTGCACCATTTTGAACTTGCAATTTCAAAATGTTTACATTGAAACAATAGCTATGCTTTAGGAAGTGAAGAATATTGTAAAGGCTAGCTGGTTTGAAAATGAACTGCACACTTGCCACAAGTTTAATAAAGTTTACAAACTCACAGGCGGCTGTTGGAAAGCTTTGTTGATTAATCGCCCTCACTGATTTTTTGTGATAGTAATTCATCAAGCTCTATTCTGTGTTAACTCAGCCATTTTGCCTGTAATGTCCACTGACTGGGCTGCCAAAAGCCCATTATCTGTAAATAGAGATTTGTGATTCACACATCCAGTCTCTTTCACAGCTCTCACTATTTGCATAGTAGAGTTCAGTCAATATAGAACGTTTACACATGTATTATAGAAGAATAATCTGCTTTATCAAAATTCTAAATCAACTCATTCATATGTCATATTTTAGGTTTGCATTGTCTCTGAATATAAGAGGCCTAGGACAATGCTGTGCTGGAGAATGCATTGACAGATGAAATTAGATCCCTACAAGTTCTATTGAATCATTATATCTATTCGGTTTCAGATCGGGTCTTTCTTTTATCTAATGGAGGTGTAAAAGACAGAATATAGCATTCTAATGTGTAATATAACACCAGAGGTGCACAGAAACCAAAAAAAGATGTTCATAGTGTAATACGGCCTTTTCGATATGGATTCTATTGTTGAACAGTTCAAGACAAAATCATCAGGCAGCATGTAACCACAGACTAGAACAACCTCTATACCTAATGGGTGTACACAGAGCACATTGCGTCCGATTCTTACAAACTGACCAAAACTTGCAGGGCTTATTTGCTGGCTTTCACCCCACGTCCTTCGACTGAAAAATCAAAGGAGCCAGGCAGTGCATGCATTGTTCAGGTATATTGATGGCTGGTGGGGCTGACTGTCAAAATACTATAGTCACAGTGGGAGATTTCTCCATCCACGCTGAAAAGTGAATAAAGGAATCTGTTAGATTTTTTTATTCAGCCCGAAAGCTAAACAAAATATAATCTAACAGTGTATACCTAGCTGAACACTACCTCTACTAACAAACTATTGGCTAGCCTCGTCATCCCTACCTTTTTTATCCAGATTGCACAGTACTGTATACTGTATCTTCACCCTCCTTCCCAAGGAGTTTTACTTAAAGCAGACTTTTACACTCAAAAATCAAAGTCTACCAATGCATTCCTCTATGTATCATGATTAATAATAACATAGACATGTCAGTTTTAGAATGCTGTGATTTTGAATTACTTACACTTGCAGCGCATTCACTTCCTGCTTTGAAAGTGCAAATTACTTTAGTTTTCCAATGCAATGCACACTGGAATTGCCTTGTCACCAGCAGAGCATTGCTGGGAAATCTCATCGGTAATCTCAGGAGATCTCTGGGAAAGGCATTTTCCTCCCCTGAGATGATGTGCATGGTCACATGTCCTAGTCACATGTCTAGTCACATGAGCCAGAAATCCAGGAAGTAATAGGAGAGCTAGTAATCTGCCCTTAGTAAACATGGCCACTGTCAGAAGACTGGGGAAGAAAAGAGAAATAGGGTATGTAAAGAATACAAAGCCTGCAATTATCTAGAAGTATGTGTTTGTAGATAGATGTCATTACTAAACATTTCTAAAGGTGTGTCTGTTGTTATTTTAAAGATATGGGTAAAGGTCCACTTTAAGCAAGCCATACACAGCAAGGTTTCTCCCGTTCAGCCCCATAGACTTAATTAAAGAAATCCCTTGCTTCCCCCATCCACCACAACTAGTGATAAAGCAACCAAATGAACCTAGTGAGCCTAATGTGTCTAGATCTAAGCACTGACTCTAGAAACAAGTCAGGTAAAACATACAACTCTACACTTTACTTACTATAACACAAAGCAGTACAGTCCAAATGTAAGCAACAAATCACAGGAGGTGTTTTCTAGTTAAATGAATCTGTTTCCTGTCATCCTGTAGGTTAATTAGGATGGGTTTACTGACAGGTCAGATTTATTGCTGCACATGCTTTCTGCAGGGTGATTGCCAGCTAGGATGTTATCAGAACTGATAGGATGTTGGAAAGGTGAACAGTCAGATTCCTGTAAATCACATAACACTTACCTAACCCTCCAATGTTGTAATCAAAGTCTTTGACATCCAGCAGGATAGGACCACTCTCTTGTTGTCCTTCCTCCTTATAGTATAGTTTGTAGCCCTGTATTGTAGCAGTATCCTCAGGATCCTGTTGCCATCTCACTGCTATTGTTGTACAGTTTAGGGGATCCAACCGCAACTCTGGAGACCTTGGTGCTACAAAATATCAGAAGTGGTTTACAAGCTAGAAATGGATTAGTATTATTAATGATCAATATACCCAACAATTGATATGATGCCTTATTATTATTATTATTATTATTATATATACAGGATTTGTATAGTGTCAACAGTTTGTGCTGGGCTTTACAATATAAGGAAGACATTACAGTTACAATACAAATCAAGACAAGATGGTAAGGAGGGCCCTGCTCGTGAGAGCTTTCAATATTACAGACAGGGCCTTTTTTTAAAAACTATGAGTATCTTCTAATTTTACCATGTTAAAGAACGTAGTCTAAACAAAACAAAACAAAAAGTCTATGATTTTTAGTTGTCCAGCTGTTTGGATCATTAAATATAGCTTTCTTTAACAATTTTGTCCCTTTTCTACCTGAGAAGGCTGTTAGCCTGAGTTCCAAAATCAGAAACCCAGAAACATTTGTCTCTGTCTTCCTTGCTTTAAGACAACTATTCATTGTGTTTTGCTTCTAATGCAGACCTGCTTAACTACGACATGCTGAGCAGAACAATTGGGGACATGCAGTGGCATATTTTTTATTACTCTTCCATGTAAGTATGAGTGTTTTGTGGGAAAGGGGCCAACTGAACAATAGGGGTTTGATTATTATTATTTTTGCTCTGGAAACAGCTCTCTACCCTTCCAGTCTCCACGTCACTGCAAAGAAGAGAAGGGGGGGAGGGGGGGGGGTGTGACCAGGATAGAGCTGCTTACCTGTCAACAAACTCTGATATAGCTTTAATGCCACCAAAACAAATGGAGACAACTGTTATTTGACCAATTAGTAAAAAAGGACTATGGCAACAACAAATGACTCATTCCTCTCTGGCTCACTCAATATTTTTGTGACTTTAAGATCTAAGATTTTTGGGGGTTTTAAGATCACATGTGATATAACTACACAGCTGGTTAGATTTGAACAAACAGGTTCATTTAGTCCAGCCATTGCCAAATTTCTCTGTTGACCCAGAACAAGAAATACACAAATGAAGGCTGAATGCCTGTCACGTTTGTCTCTGTCACAAAAGAGTGCCCTCTGTGACCCTTACATAGCTTTCAGGTTACCTGACTTAATCTTATTTAACTTTACAAGTCACAGCTGTGGATGACCTTTTTTATCAATAGCTGTGTAGTCCTACCTACCAGCTCTTGTCCACCCAACCAAATTCCACAGCATGATTGTTTTCATAGGAAGAAAAAAACTAAAACTTTTTTGTGCCGGCACTGGAATTTCCAGTGGGAAGTACTTGTCCAACATTTTTATACATAACAGTGCAATTGAAGTCCAATCACTTTTTTTACATTTTGTCAATCCCACAAATGCTCCAATTATTCAGCTGATAATGTATTTAAAATTCCATTAACATTTGCAAAGTTTTCAGTACGTTGGCACCCATAGACTGCCATTATGAGAAATGCCAGTCTCCAAAGTAGGAAGCAGAGTCTGCATATGTAATGAGCAAATATGGCTCCCTCAATGCACATATACCATTGCACGCTACGTCTAGAAACAAGGTTTACACAACACAAACCAACATCAAGAAGATATATATGAAAATAATACTGAAAAAGAAATTAGATTCCTCTAGCGGAAATCAATTCTTATATCTTCCCAAGGTAATTTACAAATGTAAATGACTCTTAAATAAACCCAGAGATAGTAAATTCCTTGTGCAATTAAGGTAGGAGTCCACTCCAAAACCTAAAAGCTCCCAGAGAACCTGTATCCCCTGACAACAATATTAGCTGTTCAAAGTGTAAGGAGCCAGCAATAACTTTTGTTAGGTGTATTGTCTATCTGGCCCTATGAGTCTGTACAGCCTTGAGTTATTCAATTTACTTCTGCAATGTTAAAGAGCTTTAGAATGCCAATAAAGGCAAAATGAAAACACTAAAAATACCAACAGTAACTTTCCCAAAAAGGATTGTCTCATAAATATAAGAGGTCACTTACCTCTTATGCTGCTGGCTTTGGGTGTGCGATGGGATGTCCAGGCAGATGATTCTCCCCATCCCACCTTTGTTGCTGCTGCTATCCGAACTAGGTAGACACTGTCTGACTTCAGCCCCTCTAAGAAATACTCATGGGTGGTACCAGGGAGCTCTAGAACTTGAACAGAACTTTCAGTGCTCATTCGAAATGACAGTCTATAAAGTATAATCTTTCCTCTACGGAATTTGGATGGGATGGGAAGCCATGAGATTAGAACATCTGTAGGACTGCGGCTTGTCAAACTAAGTTCCGGGGCTCTCAGTGGAACTGCAACAGATAAATACAACACATACCATCTGTAAAGTACTCCACTATGCAGTTATGTAGTTTAAGTAAAACATTGTTCATGGGGTCCAGATAATATTAAAGCTGAACTCCAGGAATATAAAAGCACCAATTTATGGTGGATGGTGTTCATTAAACAATCATTAATGCTTTTTTTTTAAATAACTAGTGTTGGTATATGATTTTAACTTCATATCAGCCTCTTGCAATCTCCGGTACAATAGAGGTTGCAGCACAAGAAGCCAATGAGGTGTGCTGCAGTGCTTATGTGCTGACAGGAGAAAAGATCAGAGTGAAAGAGAGATGAGATAATCAGTCTGCTGTTCTGATTAACTGTCCCGTTGAACACTGGGGAGGGAGAAGCTCTAGTTGTATTACTTAACTGCAAAAGTCAGGGCTCTAGGCTGGCTGTGCTGTGTGGCTGAGCTGTGTAAATTTCAGCAATGAATGGACAGAAATACAGGTAAAACAGCTCCTCTATACTGTATGTATTTCATCTGTGTAGTTAGCGGTTTGCCTGGAATACATCTTTAACAGTCACACACATAAAATTAGGACCAGTGTAAGGCTATTCCTCATCCTTAGCACTACACTTACATTAACCCAACCCAACATTGAAGCTAACCATGTCTAAATCAGAAACAAAAAAAGTATCTGCTCTTTTGAAACAAGACCTCTCATTCCGGTTTTCCATGTGCCAGTCAAGGCCTACAATTCATACATTGTATTTTTAGAGATCTATAAACCTATTCCATTAGAAACTATAGAAATGTTTTTGTTTAGACTCAACAGCGCATCAGTTTAAGGCCTCATGCAAACTATGTACCAAAACATTGAGTTCATGTGCGTTTGGATCTCACACACCTGGACTCATAACGCTTTTCTATGACTGAATGCACACCTAGGCGTCCAGCAACACTGCGCCGCGGGTACGACTAGCCCAGTTTTATGCGGCTAAATGCATGTAAATTTGTTTGAACGCATGTCAACGCATATCAAATGCAACTAAGGCCATCATAGAAAAAAGTGATCTGGGAAGTGTAAAGTTGTTTATACTTACAAGATGACTTCTCTAGGGCTTAAACGCAGCCTGCTTGTGTGCATGAGGCCTATATCTTTATGGAATTGGTTTCTTAGCACTTACAGTACTTTTTGATCTAGACATGGGTTACTGTTATGAATGCTTATTACCATCGTATAACTATTACATGCATTCCTATATAAAGCAGGTGATAACATGCTCTTTGCAAATTATTACAAGCATTCCAACGAATGCCTTACCATCTTCAAGTGAGCTCTGTGTAACATGGTCTGACATCTGGCTTGCACCCATCGGCATATAGGCAACAATATAAAATGTGTAGTTGCTGGCAGGATCCAAGTCATCAATGACGTAGTGATTTGTGTCATTCCCAATCACCACTTGATATTCTTCATTGTTTAAACCTAAATAAAGGCAACAAGAGCATTACTCTCGCACATTACACAAAACCAGAACTCACCATCAGTGGGTGATGTTAATCCTAATTTGACTGAATCCACTCGAAAGGCTTTAACTGATATTTGTTTTCAGACAACTGTAAGTTACTTGTGCACAGTAAAATAGTTTGTCTCTTTGACTCTTAAGAGTAAGAGGATGAGCAAGACATATTAATTAGACTAAACAGTTTTAATGCCACTCAATATAGTCTACTGGCTGTGGTCAGCCAGGGGTTGGTGCATCCAGCTCTCAGCACCTTTACTGTGATCATGGCCATGAGTAATACCTTGGTCATAGCAAGTACACAGCAAGTGTGCACATTTATCTTTTAAACATGCTTTTCTCTATGCATTTACATGTGTACTCGTGGTCAAGTCCACAAATCCAGCCACAACATATCCATTCCCACAGGAACAGCAGATTAACTCTACATCAAATGTTAATAAAAGGGTTAAAACAACTCCTAACATTATTCGTTGATGCACATGCTCTGTACATAGCTATCTACCTATGCCTACTTCTCACCACTATGAGGTATAAAAAAATGAAATATGAAACTACTCTTACATTTTAGTGACACATCACTTTGACTATTCTATATTGGGTGAATGATGGCATTTTGGTTTTTTTTTTTACAGGTTAGGGTAGGTGGAGCTGAGATTATTCCCTGTGGACCACAGATATCATTAACCATAGTATACAATGCAATCTGATTCTTAAAGGGTCAGGGTCACTGCAAATTGATATCTCAGTTTTTGGTAGAAAATCAAAACTAAAACTTTACTATATTTCTCGGGTGAATCTACTGGTTCAATATATGCATTGAGTAGTCAAGTCTGTACACTTACTGTAACCACTCTGAGGGTGCTGCACTCTACCTCTCTGGTCAGCCCACTTATAGATAAAATATCACTTTTAGGTGAACTTGCCCTTTAACCACCTATACAAATAATTCTCTAAAAAAGTGTTAAGCTTGTTAAGCTTTTCACTGAAAAAAATGGATCAAGATGCAAAATAAACAGGATGCTTGTGTGTGTCGGTGCATTGTGTTGTGCTATATAGAATCTGAATAAATGAAACCTAAGCTCATTAAAAGTAACAATAAAGAAGTGTTCCATAACTACTCAAAACAAGTTTTTGTAAACTGCTTTAATTGAAAAAAAAACTGTTAATGGAGTTACCATTTAACCACTAAGAATTCCTACATCTTAAATCCGTGTGATTAAACGCAGGCAAAAACAAACCCCGTTTTATGAACCGCGCCATTCAGCAACAAGCCGTTTTATCAGAAACAACAAGCGCACAAAAAAGCCGTATTGTAAAAGAGGCGATTATATAGTTGAAATCTATTACAGCAGTTGGAAAAGATGAAGGCGGGCACAAGAAAGAGAATTCACTATATAAATGTGTTGTGTCTTAATGAGCTTAGGAAAAATTTCAGCAATTCATATTGAAATATGCAGAGGGTTGCATTACTGCTGTTGCCTTTGTTGCTTCCTAATTCCTATACACAGGAACTGGTAAGCGGAATAAGGTTGTTGAAGGCTGTTGTGGTTCAAGACCATTTCACACCGAAATACATGTCAACTCAATCAAAACTCCCCCACCACCCATTGCCATTAAATTTATAAACAAAACCCTGAACCAAATTCCACTATTGAGCTTTCCCACATATCTGAATTGACTAAAAAGCATTTTAATTAGACAAGATTACTGGCATCTCACAACAGAGCCGTTGATGGTTTGTTAATTAGGAATGTCGTGGCATGATTTTTGACCCGCTAAACAAGATCCTTAGGCTCAAATTAAAAGGCCTTGTTCTTGGAGTGAATGAGCCACTGGGCCTCATGCGGAGGCCTGATAAAATAGCCATAATAGGGGGTGAGACCAGCCTACAAACAGAATCACTACACCCTTTGTAGAGCTTCCAAATTGCTAACAAGGAATTAATACACTCATGTACTCTCATCAGACCTTTTCGCTTGCCTAGCACACTAACCCACTCATTTAAATGCAAGGTCTGTTCCTTTTTAAAGAACACCTGTTGGCTTTCTTTGAACAGCATCTCTTTTTTAAGTATAAGTTGTTTTATATATATTTTATTTATTGAAATATAGTTATGTACAAAGGATTACCAAAACTAATATAATTGTATATATTTTTTTTTGTTTGCTATACAGGGTCATATGAGATTAAACTTTTTAGTACTTTAAAAGTCCAATTTTGGTGTAGCCGATTTAAGGGATGATCGAACTCACATAACAATAAGTTAACATGAGAATTTTATAATTTATTTATATTATATTTTTAAGATAATGTGGTAAGAGTTACTTGGAGAGCTTAAAATAGTGGTGGGATCAAACAAAAAAGGTAAAGGCATTGCCACCATTACAATGACCCATTTGATATGGTAACAGAATTTGTAGATGCTCATTAAGTATTCTTGATTGAAAACGAGGGTAGCTCCGGGAAAGGGAAATCTTATAAAAGGGACAAAGGCTGTTGCAGCTGTCAGAAATCTATAGGCTTTTTTTTTCTAAACACACATTGCAATTGACTTAATCTCACCTTCCGCCTTCATGTAATGCACAGAATAAGCAATGACTTTTTCGGAGTTGTACAGCGGCCTTTCCCACGACAGTATAATGGCTGAACTGGACACTGTCTCAGCTCGAAGGTGACGAGGAGCACTTGGTCTGTCTTCAGACATCACCACTATAAGCCTTGCCCGAGAAAGGATTGAGCCATGACTATTTTCTGCCATGCACTGATATACTGCATCATCTTCAGGGATAATCTGATTAATTACCAGTTTACTAAAGTGAAAAAGAGAGACAGAAATTTTGTAAATTGAAACATTATGCACTGTTGTATTCTTCAGGGGAAATGGCTACATAGACTGTAATTAAAATGTACAGCAATCAAAACCAGATCATTGTCTTCCTACCTATTGTACATTTTGATTCTTCCATTAGAATGTATCTTTCTTGCATTCTTGAGCCAGGAGATTTTTGGAATTGGAATTCCTTCAGCTTGACATACAAAACGAGCTGTTCCTGCACGTGGCCTTGTCAAACTCTCTGGCCGTTCAGCAAATGATGGAGGTGCTTCAGGGATTAAAACATTACAGGGTGAAGATGTAAAACAGACTTTCTGAATAACCCATCAGTGTATATTGTACAATGTATATTGCTAAAAGATATCAGCATAAATGTATGGCAACTGGTTAAAAACAACCCTTAGAGAATGCAAACCCCAAATGAGATCAGGGAATCAAGTGAGATCATCACTAGGCTACTAAACATCCAAACTCATCATAATCCTCTTGCGCAGCTAAATCTTTGCGTAGTGGAAACAACAGCTTTAGTGATATAGTGTAATGTAATGATCTAAAGACCATACTGTATGACAATTTTTCTTAAATTTCCCCCATTTAAAGTGAACTTGAAACAGCCAAAATAATTTCTAAGGTATCAGCAGTGCTGAAATACATTCACTATCATTCATTTTAAAGAAGAACTCATGGCATTTTTATTAACCCTTGAAGTGGGGCTATCCCTGCTCATTTTGGTCTAGGGAAGAAAATAAAAAATGTATACTCACCCAATCCTCCAAGCTGCAGATCCAGACCGTTTCCTAGAGCCCCCCCCCCCCCCTCACACTGCAGTGGTTTAAGGTCCCTGAGTCATCACGTTCTATACACGTTATATTGAACATGAGGATACCGAGGGACTACCATTACTGTAGCTGACCAGACACGAAAATCAGGTGAGTATAACTTAGTTATTTTCCTCCCTAGACCAAAATCAGCAGTTAAACCTTGTAGTGCAGTGGTAGCAAAACACCCACAGCAAATATCTCTACAAATGCTTTTACACAGCAAATATATATGCAGTCCATAGAAAACAGTAGAAAAATTAGGTTTTCACTAGGATGCTTAAATTATTTTTCCCTTTGTGTTTAAATTGTACACACCACATTACAGAGATCAACAGGTTTTGTTATAAAAGCCCAGTGGGCAAGACAAAGTATACAATAACAAATTAATCTTACCCAGAACTACAACACTAGCCATTGCCACTGTGAAGTTGCGAGTTCCCGCTGTTGTCGCTCTACAGATGTATACACCTGCATGCTGTACCTTCACGTCGGAAATAACAAGGTTCCCGTTACCCAGCACTCTTGTGTTAAAGACATCAATGGGCTTTTGATCTAGGATAAAACTGTTTTTTAATTGTTCTGTCTTCATGAGAACTGGAAAGTCTATAATATCTAAAATGCTTATCAAAAACATTACATGTTAAATGCCATTATCAATACGTAATCTACTCTACATGGGAAAATATGCTCTTACCCAATCTGCTCCAGGACACTATAGGTTTTGGGTTTCCTGTAGCCATACACTCCAGTGTAACAGTTTGGTGCACAGAGGCCGTTGTATTCTGAGGTGGTGCTATGATTACCGGTTTCTTTAAAGATTGCATCAGTGTGCCTAGTTCAGGAACAACCAAAGAGTAATCATTTCATGGCAGAACTGATAAAATCTAATCAAAATGTAAACCTCAGCAGATTCACAAAGCTCTTTACATACAATTATATTGTATACATAGAACATTTCTGTGTGCCAGTCATTTCTAACAACTATGGTCTCCAGTAGATGATCTCACAAAATCAGAATATTTAAAAATGAATCCAGCTCAAAGAACGAATGTGTACATTACAGTAAGGACACAAACCTGCTAGAACAGTCAATGTGGCTTCAGCACTCTTGCGTCTGTTTGACATGGAGGTAGCTATGCATCTGTAATTTCCAGCATCCTTTTTTGTGACACCATAGATCTGAAGAACTCCTTTCGATAACACAGTAATCCTTTAAATACACAGGAAAGCACATTTTTTTTAAAGAAGTCGAAATCAATGATTTACATTTATGAAAAGCCAATGGAACCAAATAAATGGCATATACAGTAACTCTATTTATGCGCTCCGGTTTTCTCCCGCACTCCAAAGACATGCTGGTAGGTTAATTGGCTCCTGACTAAATTGGTCCTCATATGTATGCATGTGAGATAAGGACTGATGTGAATGTGTACTGTGTAAAGCTCTGCGTAAATTGTTAGCGCTATATAAATGCTTGTAATAAATAAATAATACATACATTTATAGTGTCTGGTTTCAACCTAGCAAGCCACTATCAGATCTGAGAATTATAATACTTACTATTATTATTGTACAGTAGGGATGCACCGATACCATTTTTTCGATGTCGAGTACAAATACCGATGCCGAGTGCCGGGTGCGCTGATTATCAGGAAGTCAGGCAGGGGACCATGACCCGTTGCCCGGCTTCCAAATTGCCTGTGAAGACAGTGTTCTAGCGAAAGAACACAGGTTTCACTTGCTGAGGCTGCCTGGCTTCCTGACCAATCAGGAAGTCGGGCGGCAAGTCATTAGGTGCCATCCATCCAATACAAATTAACACAAGATGGTTAGGAGGGCCCTGCTCATGAGAGCTTACAAGTCAAATACTACAAAAACACTTTTGTCTATTAATTGTTTTATTTTTTCAAAATTGAGCCATTACCTGTCCATGGCAAGAGGAAGAGCAGTGCGATTTACTTCCCACGTAATAACAGCTGGAGGATTTGCAGTTATCCTACAAGAGAAACGAGCCACTCCTCCATCTTGTACCTGAATTGAAACTGGTTGCTCTTCAAAGGCAGACATGGCTGAAATAAGGAAATAGAACTCAGTTACTAAGCACTTTCTTGGGCACAGAACACATAATTAGCTCATAATGCTTCATAATGGAATATCCTCACCAGAATTCTGGGAAATATTATTTTTAATTAACTTGTGCTTGACTGACTAGATAAAGATTTACAGCAGAGGATAAAACCTAAAGCAGGCTGATTTTACTCTCTTGACTTTGACTAGTCATAAGGAAACCAAATAATGAATACAGACTTTGCCCTGCAACTCACACATTGGCCAACATAGTATTTCATTAAAGTTCTGTCCAAACCCTTACAGTGTTTCAGAACAGCCGGTTCCACCTCTCTCAGCTCCACTTCCCTGAACTTCCTGTCGGTACAGGTCATATTGAGCGACAGTGCACATTTTATCGCACTACATATCGCGTTTTTGAGGTGGGACTTCGTCGCTGCTACATTGGGCTGTAACCAATCAACAGCGATCTTGATGTGACATCATTCTTTCCTTCCATTTTGCAGTGCAAAAGTAACCCGTTGCTTGATATCGCGCAACCAAGTCGCGCAATATCGCTGGTAATGCGTGATTTCGCACGACACCATTGAGTCTATTGGGGCCGAATCGCGCGACATCCCCCGAAAAAAGGGTCATGTACAAGCGACAAGCTTCAGCGACGGGCTACAGGCGACATTGAGCTGTGAGATGTGAACAGCTCCATTGGAATGCATTGGACAAGCTACATAGATCCAATCAGCATTTGAAATAACTTAAACACCTTTTGACTTTAATATCACTTTAAATCCAATCTCAGACCAACATGCAGAAGCAGCATCACACAAACTGTTTTCTTTTTCTTGACACTGAATTTGCAGTGTACTTAATTTCACAATCAATACAAAGAGCTTAAAGTAAATGGAATCCATCATTTTCTTTTCTTTGTAACCTCCGATCCTAAAAGCTATACCAACACAAAAAATGTCCTATTGCCAAAGTCAGACTAAAGTAAGCACTTTTTTTCTAAAATTCAAGTCTAAAGCTAATATATGCACAATAAATGAATACTAATGTAAAAATGGTAAAGTATACTGCAATGGCCAACAGTAACTATGAGAAATTACTAATAACAAAGTAGCACGAGATGTCATACAAATCCCTCTTTTCACTGATCCCATGTATTATGCATGGTCTCCTGTATGTTTAAAATGTGCCTCGGAGCAATTCATATGGTAATCACCATGTGTCCTTTCTTCTTGCTATTTGAACACAGCATATCAGTTAATAACAGGCCGATAATTACTGCAACATGATTAGGATGCGCCGATAAAGTAAAAATGTGTAATATTCTGGCATTCCTTTTCAAAATTAGTGTCTTTCTTCTGTCTTTGTGCTTTGCTGCTCGTGAGCTTATTGTCCTCAGTCAATCTATCATTTCTATGGTAATCCCATCTTTTGTGAAGCACAATCTGTTATTGCACTTTCTGCATCAGTGTAAATGTCAATTTAAACCCCAAACTGTAAAAGCAATGTTATGATGGGTCAAGTAAACCATTAAAAAGAAGCCACATCAAAGCTGTACACAGGGTTATGCTGTTCATGAAAACAATCGCCCTCACAACACCGTAAATGTAATTGCCTTTTATTAGGAGTTTAGCCCTTGTTTTTAGTATTTTGGTAGTTCTCGAGTTTACAACCTGGAGAAAACAACACTAGCCATTGTGTCAAATGTCCCACCCCAAGGCTTCTAAAACCACGTACATACCACCTGTGTGTACTCCATCCATTACAAAAACATGCAGCAAGCTTTCCTTGGAGATACCAGTAACAGCATTAGGATTTGGCGTGATCTGTCACATTACACTAATGATATCTGGTCTATCAGATACAAAATGCTAAAAGTGGAGCAATAGCCTACAGCAGTCAGCTTTTTAATCTGCACTAGAAATTTGTATTATTCTGAAGTTTATTGCTTGTAGCAGCTCCTCATTCCCTACCTGGAGTTTTCACGTAACCAACGGAATTCTCTAGCATACTCAGCGTATGCAAAATTATGAACACGGTAAGATGTGTACGGTCTAAATATAACTCAAGCTGGATATTCTGTTTTTGAATTGTCTTGGGTTGTGCTAAGATTATTTTAAAGTAACATTAAACTTTCATTTTTTTTCAATAATGAATCCAGATCAATCAAATATACTTTACATTTCTTTACATTTTTGCCCAAACACTTATATTAATTAGGTTTCCAAACAGCTGGCTCAAACTCTCTCAGCTCAGCTTCCCTGAACTTCCTGTTGAGAACAAGATCACAAGGGACAGCACAGTCCCCAGGAGCTATCCATCTATTAGTTCGGAGAAGGGAAGAGGAAGTAGTAGGGAAGAAAGGGGAACAGGAAGCAGGGGAGAGGCGTACCTTGCTGTGCTTGTGTGTTTGTGGAGACACTCACAGCTTACTAATACACACCAAGGTGGCTCCACGGGACCCTGCAAGGGAAAGGAACCACCCTTTCCCAACAAGATATCAGGACCAGTGCCCAGGGGACTAGCTTATTCTGCAGGAAGCTAAAACTTTTAAATCTCAAGCAGCATCCACTGTGAGTGATTTAATCAGCATTTGAAATAGCTCAAAAACCTTTTGACTTTAATACCATTTTAAAGAAGATGTACTCAAAATAATGGGTTTGAGTTCACAGCTTTTCTATGCTGCTGCAATGTACAAAATAGCAACTAGATCCTGCTAATCTGCCTTAGGGGTCACACAGACCACTGGAAAAGGTGGGCATACATAGTTAGAATTTTGTTCATATAAAAAGGTTTCTAATAGTTAACGGCGTCAATTCAACTATCAATTTTAAATGTTGTAAAAAAGCAGGATGGAAAATTTTTGTTGAACAAACAAAAACAGTGAATGCTAAAATCAAACAAAATTTCAAATGACATTCATCAATTTTCTGATGTCATTATGGAATGTTCTCATGAGATTTTTGGCACAAAATTTAATACGAAAGCCTACCAATGTATGGCCAGCTTAAAGGTGAAGGAGTATGGCAGACAGAATCGTTAGTATGAAATGTTAAGTTACTGAAATATTATATTTCCGTCTATACTGAGACTATTCCATTTCTACTATTCTTAGTAATTTAGTGCTAAAAAAGCAGTAGCATTGCCAAATCCATCGATCCTTCCTCTTATTTTCCCCATGTACTGAAATACATAATAACTGTTACTATACAAACATGCAAAAATGCCAACTAGAAACATTTTAATCATTATGAACAAAAGATAAAAAAGAAATAATGAGAAAGTTCAAACGTATCTTTAGAAAAACTTGTATATTTGTGATCTCTACTACAGCCTGGTTTCTACTTCCCTTCTTTTCTTGATCTGAATAAAAAATGTTAACAGGATGTCAAATCTGTATTTTACCCATCAAGAAATGGGGAAGTATATTTCTGCAGGATCATAAGAAATACTGATACCAGTCAGACATTCTGGAACGTTCACAGTCTAAGGACTAATGGCAATTATCTTAATACCTATCGGTAAATTCCAGCTTCCGCTTATAGGCAGTAGATGCATGGTATATTTCATCTGCAGGATACCCCTCCTTCCATCAACATGCTAATCCCCTTTGTGGTTTACAAATCAAAGAAGCTTAAACACAGTTGTTACTTCCCAAAGCTGTCAGACTTTATTACTACTGCATTTGGAAGTTGTTGTGTTTCCTCATCCAACACATTGCAAGGCCTTGGGTAATGAATCTGAAAAGAAGCAGTCTCAGATTTCACATTTAGCCTTGAGAGTCTGATACTGGATACTCAACTCCAACTCACTACAGTAAATAAATGAGTCCCAATCCTATATAATGGTTGCAGTACAATGCAGAGTGAAAGCATCTATAAACATTAGACAACAGTCTTTAGATTTTTGTCCGGACCTAGTGCTTAACATGCAAACATGCAGCGTGCTGGGTCCTGTTGGGCTTCAATTTGGGGTGGGGGGGATAAAAAAAACCCACTGCCAATGGCCACTAATGTATTTTTCTGCCACTGGCCCAGGAGTTAAAGGGGGGGGGGGGGGGGTTAATAGTAATGCTACTAACACCAATGCTGGGGATCATTATTGCGGTCACTGATACCAATACTGGGGATCATTATTGTGGTCACTGATGCCAATGCTGGGGATCATTATTGTGGTCACTGATGCCAATGCTGGGGATCATTATTGTGGTTGCTGATGCCACTGCTGGGGATCATTATTGTGATCGATGATGCCAATGCTTGGGATCATTATTGTGGTCGATGATGCCAATGCTTGGGATCATTATTGTGGTCACTGATGCCAATGCTTGGGATCATTATTGTGGTCACTGATGCCAATGCTGGGAATCATTATTGTGGTCACTGATACCAATGCTGGGGATCATTATTGTGGTCGATGATGCCAATGCTTGGGATCATTATTGTGGTCACTGATGCCAATGCTTGGGATCATTATTGTGGTCACTGATGCCAATGCTGGGAATCATTATTGTGGTCACTGATGCCAATGCTGGGGATCATTATTGTGGTCGATGATGCCAATGCTTGGGATCATTATTGTGGTCACTGATGCCAATGCTTGGGATCATTATTGTGGTCACTGATGCCAATGCTGGGAATCATTATTGTGGTCACTGATGCCAATGCTGGGGATCATTATTGTGGTCGATGATGCCAATGCTTGGGATCATTATTGTGGTCACTGATGCCAATGCTTGGGATCATTATTGTGGTCACTGATGCCAATGCTGGGAATCATTATTGTGGTCACTGATACCAATGCTGGGGATCATTATTGTGGTCGATGATGCCAATGCTTGGGATCATTATTGTGGTCACTGATGCCAATGCTTGGGATCATTATTGTGGTCACTGATGCCAATGCTGGGAATCATTATTGTGGTCACTGAT